AATTTCGTTTGTTGCAAGTATAAAACATATTTAAAATATTTAGTAGAATTACTGACCCTTCTTTCCAGTGCTCCTCAATTCATTATGAAGACAAAACATCAAGATGTATGCCCTGTCTTCAGAGCAAAATGATTATATTTAAGAGCCTCTAGATCAAGAGAATAAAGATGAACATTTTTTATTAATTTAAATTCAGAAAATGCTTTTAATATCTTTATATTTACATATTAATTTGAAGGAAACAAAACTCAGTATTTTGGAAACACATTAGTATTTTACAAATTTTTGATACTTTTATGAATTCTTTGAAAATTTCATACAATGTATCTTGATCATCTTCCCATCCTCTTCATCCTAATTCTTCCCATATCCCCTCTAAACTTTCCTTCTCATTTTGATCTTTTATAACAAAATCAAAACTAATTTGTGCTGTCCATATACTCATGAGTGTATAGCTGTCCAATGTAAGCTGGTTGACTTGCCAGGGGCCATACCCTTAAAGAAAACCCAATTCCTCTTCCAGAAATCATCAGTAGCTCCTCCTTTAGGGGCAGGAGCTTGAGAATCACTCTGTCATCTATGCTAGACTATTGAATGGCTTGATCCTGTGTAGATCTTTCAGAGGATCCTATGTAGCTCTTTATGTTATATGTTCAGCTGTCCTGTCTGATCACTTGCTCTTACAATCTTTCTAGCCCCTCTTCTTCATTAGTTCCTAAGCTTTTGGAAGAGTGTGGTAGAGATGTTGCCTTTGAGGCTGAGCATCTCATTGATTCATTCTCTAAACTTTGATTAGATGTGAATTTCTATGTTCGTAACCATCTATTTCATGAAGAAACTTCTCTGATACCAACTGAAGCTTGAACTAATCTATAGACATAAAGATGTCAAGTTAGAGGGCAGTTGGCTAGTATTGCTATTTAATACACTAATAGTAGTAGAATCACCCTGGGGCCTGAGACCTCTCCAAGCACCAGTTCTTGGCTAGATTTACAATACCTGGTATGTGTTTCCTCCTATAGAAAGGACCTTAAATCCAACCAGAAAGCAGTGGTTACCCCTATATTATCTGTGCTGCTTTCGCACTTTGGACATACCTTGCTACACTGATCATAATTACAGGTCACAGGGTTCATCGTTGATAAAGCAATTAATGACTTTTCCTACCAATAGCTTGCAAAGTACCTCCCAGTACTCAGAGAGCTAGCTAACAGTGATTTGATCCCCATTCTTATAGTCATTAAAAAATAAAAATAAACATCAGGCAACCCCTATGAGGTAGATTCAACGTTTTGTTCTCTCTCTCATCTCTCTGTCTCTAGCTATCTTTGGTGTGTGTGTGTGTGTGTGTGTGTGTGTGTGTGTGTGTGTGTGTGTGTGTGTGTGTGTGTTCATATGCATATGCACAAACATGGGAAGGTTTCACATGGGAGTAGGAGGTCAGTTTAGGAGTCTTCCTCAGTTACCCTCCACCTTACATTTTGAAGACAGGGTTACTCACTGGGATATTGGGTTTGTAGATTCCAGTATACTAGCTGTCCTGGAAGCTCTAGGGATCCATTTGTCTCCACGTCTACAGTACTAGGATTCAAGAAATTTGCTAATGTGCCCAGGTTGTTTGTACATGCTGGGGACTGGTGCTTGTGTAACAAATATTACAAATTGGGTCATCTCAATAATCCTGCAGCACTTTGCAATGCATAAAACACTTCTAAAAGCCATTAAACAAAAGGCTAATAAACTAACATGAAAACATAAATTAAATTATCCTTTAACCTACCACCATGAGCCAGGTGTAGTCTGAGCCTGTAGTCCAAGCTCTAGGGAGGCAGAAGTTGAAGAGCCATGAATTTGGGGACACCTTGGGCTACATAGAAGGAACAGGTTGCAAAGACAGAAATAATAATAAAAACAACAACAACACTAAAACTTCTTTACACCATTCTAATTTTACCCAAAGGAACTTTTATTTCTAAGATTAGAAGTTAGTCTTTTTCCCCCCTTGAACCAATTTTCACTAAGAAAATGGTTCACAATTGCTAATTGAACTGATTTAGAAGCAAAAGTTGCCTTAGACAGCTAATCTCAAATAAATAGGTGCAATGTGTGCACTTTTTAATCTAGGTGGCTGATAGACATTGGAACTGTTTAAGATCACAAAATGGGAAATTTTAGGAGACAAAATTTTGATTACTCATGACATTTGACTTTATAGTTCTTTGGCCTGTGTACTAAAGATACAAGGATTATGAAAATAAACTTAGAGTTTACGATATTGAGGAAGAAAATTGGAAACATATAATCAACTTAAAATGTGATGTGAGTCTTAACAATAATAAAACAAATATATAGAGTAGATGCCAAAGAGGAAGTGGCAGTTATCTGTTGTAAAGCTGTCATTGATCTTCATTGACATGGACTTCTTAATGGAAAATTAAAACTGGTTATTCTGTTAAGCAGACATCTGAAGTTAGTGTTTAAAACATCAATGCTTGTCTGTGAATATATCTTTGAATTCTAGTGTATCTAACAATGATATTGAATGTGAAAAAAATCCTTTAAATATTTTCCTGTTAATGTCATGAAGCTGACTTTAAGTATGACAATTTAAAAAAAAGCGCTGAGGTTCTGAGTGCCTTTTTAAGCAATGTCTTTATCTGGGAGTCTTCATTTCCTCCTTCCCTTCCCCATTGACTGCTTACAAGACTATAATTTTCCTTACCCTTTTATCTGAACCATTCTAAGTATTTCTCAGTGAACACTTAAAACCCAGCTAACAAGAGAAATCACATTAAATACTAGGTATTTCCTATCATCTTTTCACCAATTTCAGCTACTTTTTGGAAATTTAAGAAGGTGTGAACATTCACCAAAAGAGAAGCACACACTGTATTCCTGGTATTTGCAAGGTACATTACCTGCTGTACTTCAGAACCACTCTACAGGGTAAACTTTGCTATAACTTCATGCACACTTTTATTCTGCAGAATTTCTATGAGTCTCTGCACTCTTTTTCATATTTCTATATTGCTCATAACTTATGAGACAAAAGACTAACATATGTGAAAATAAGAATAATGTATACTTCAAAAGTCCTAAGTACTCATGGCATGGGGGTACTAATTCATGTCTTTCTAGTCACTTGATAGCCTCTTTCCTCCTTCTGACATTTTATCTTCCAACATTCACTTATTAAAACTGATATATTTTATTTGATTATAAATAGTCTTATGTAGACAAAACATACACTATATACATAGGTAGATAAGCAGATATAGATATGGATTTATTCCAGAGTGATTAATAGAAAAATGATATAGTTTAATGGTTTGTAGATAAATAGATGATTCACAAATTAATGATAGTTAGAGAAGGGAAAATCACACAGTTAGATAGATAGATAGATAGATAGATAGATAGATAGATAGATAGATAGATAGATAGATAGATGATAGATGGACGGATGGATAGATGTGCACTCAGAAAACTTCTTTAACATGTCATGTTTCTAATTTCAGAAAACTCACACTGTTCTCAGCAGTAAAGTAGATACACACTGAGCCAGCTGCTGTGTTCCAAAGATAGAAACTATGCCACACAGACTTTGTAACTTCTGAAAAATACGTGACTGAAGCCTTTAATGTGAGTCGGGGTATCCGAGCCTGAAGGGTACAATCCAATTAGACCCACCATGAAAGCCACAGGTACAAAACTCACCACCTTATATAGGAAAGCAAGTGGACAGTCAAGTGAAGTTATCCCACAAGAGTGATAGTATTTTGTAGTATTCTAAAGAGGAAAATGTGATAAAATATTCCTTGGACAATATTTTAAGATTAGATGAAGAAATTACATAAACACTCAAAATTATTATTGCAACTTTAATGAACACTCTAATATCCTCTTTTAATGATTTCCTTGAGAGAGTATAAACCAATAACAGGGATAAAATGCATTATTTGTTCCTTAAAAATTCAAGGAACAACTTGTTCCAGTAAGCAGGTATTTGAACCCTATTCTCTCCATAAAGAGTCTTGTCAAAGTGCCTTTTTTTGGGGGGGGGAGGTTGGTTATGTGTGACTTAGCAGAAAGGATATTGTCAACTAGATCTGGTGTAACTCATGGACCTGTTACACAGTGCATTCTCCTCAGCCAGTGCTTGCTTGCATGTTGTCGATTGTTTTAACATTTTCACTTTGTCTGGGAATAGAAAGAAAATATTTCAGATGATACTTGCTGTATTCAGGTAGGATTTGTCCCCCAAATAGCCCTGTGTTGGGAGCTGGGTCCTCACTGCAGCAGGATTGAGGTGATGGGAGTCTTCCGAGGTAGTCATCCTAGTGTGAAGCACTCATGTTAATCTTAGGCTGAGTTGGCGCTTATGAAGGCAGCTTGCTTTGAGGCAAAGTCATTCCAAGTGCATGGCCCTTTCTGCATATGGCTGTTTTCCTTTCTGGTTCACTCTGTTGTCACAGACAAGAAGTTTCTCATCTGAGTGCCACACAGGATTGGACTCCTGCCACCAAAAGCATGTGCTGAGCAAACCTCTCCAGAATAAAGTACCTAGTCTTAATCATCTTGTTATTGAAACAAAAACATGAAAATATATACTATGCCTAAGTAAGTTTCTGTTGAATTTTTATTTAATTTCTGCTCCTTGTGATTTTGTGACTTAATAAAAAGGACGTATTATAACTTAAATTTAAATCCAGATCGGAACCAAAATAGACTGTGTTGAACCTTCTTCTTTGTATGAGTATGCGCTAGTTTTTTGTCAGACTACTATACAAATATGGTTTCACCTGGACGAAATATATTTTCTAATAATTGATAGCTTTGACTGTCATACCTGTATGTGTCTTTGGATGCCTCCTGAAGTTTTAGAACTTGAATTCCAATGACAGTTTGAAAGCTTTTTCTTGTTTTTTCTTCTTTTTCTTTTTCTGTCCCATTATAGTCTTGCTAACAGTATTTGACACTCTTTCTTTTTTCCTTCATAGACTTTGATTGTCTTCAGATGGTGCCTCAAGCCAGTAGTGACCAAAGATCAGACTTTATAGTCCTGCTATTACAGTCAGGCCTGGCTGTGACATTGTGACCTCCTATCTTCAGCTGTTAACTCTGTGCCTCTTTGTGGAAGACTGTGTCCATTCTTTTGGCCTCTCAATGCCTGTGAGCAACAACATAAACACCAATATGTTTATTTGTTTGTTTTCTGTTTTTTTTTTTTTAATCAAGAATGAAATTGGGAAAGGATCATACATTTTGGAAGAAGTCACCTACCAGGCAGTAATGGCATTTAAATAGCTAATTGGGGGCTTACATGTGCTGAGCAATTTAGGCCTCTCACCAAAGCCAGGAAGATTGCCAAGTCAGGTAATAGAGTCACCCTGGAAATGGAAGTACCAGTTCTGGCCACCCTCAGATCATAGCAATCCTGGCCAGATGGTCCAATAAACTTCAAAGAGAAGCCAAGGTAGACCCACGAGTAAAACAACTAAATTCTTGACCCATTAAAACTAGGTGATATAATACTTTTGAATGAAATCAGTTTGGAGTTGATTTGTTAAAATAAAACAAATTGCAAATATTTCATCTAGATCCATTTTTGGTCCATAGCCTTGTCTATGTCACTTTGTATGCCTAGAACACTTTGCAAGCTAGCACTGAGGGCACACTGTTAATTGATTGGAGGTTATAAAATCTCTTGATCACTAGAAATTCATTTTAGATTGAAATACTACCAAGAATCTAATTCTTCCATAATTTTGCTTAAAATTTGTTCTTCAACAACAAAATGTTAGCAGTCACATGATGCTTATTTCTCAAATGCAGTCATAAGTTTCATATATCCCTTTGCTCAGGTGTTAATAAGATACAAATTACAAGAAAATAGCATGAAGCCCTTGATCTGAAATTTATGATCTTGCTCAGGTTCTGGTTTTTGATATCTTTTTGTACAACATGAATATGGCTGCGCATATTCAAAGTTTGAATGTTAGTTAAAGATCTGCTAGGAAAGTGCCATTCAGGACTTGAAAGTCTACTGTCCTCAGACCATTCCAAAGTTCCACGTGATGCTTTACAAAGTGTGTTTGTTGGAAAAGAACTATAACCTGGGAACTTGGAAGAGAGATACAAATCTGGAGGAGATGGGAATGTTGTCACACAACCAGATCCTCTTAATATAAAACACTCTGTTCTCCTCCTAGAAGCCACATGACAATTCAGTTTGTGTGCAGATTCAATGCATGAGTGCACACACACACACACACACACACACACACACACAAACAAACACACGTGCACTCAGTTTCAATGTTTTACAAAGTAGGACACAATGATTAGTTTCCCTTATGTGTCTTGATACTCTCAATGTATATTTGTTTGACTGTTTTAGTTTTTGTTTTCTTTCCAAGTTATTGAAATGATAGGATATTATGAAAAGCAAAGATTAACTCCATAGAAATACATGTTGTTAATATAAACCAGCGAAATCCTATTCTGAATTATCCTTCCCTGGAGAATACCTAGTCATCTACTAGTCAAGTTATCCCTTCTAATGATTCATGGATTCCACTGAGAACTTTAAACAGGCTGTTTCCTAGACTGTGTCATGAGAAGAATTTACTCTTGGTAGTTTGACTTTGGCGTCATTCTGTATTTGCTCATCACTCATCACTGTAAATTGAAATGTACCTATTACTCCTGGGTAAACATGAAAAATAATGACTTACACTGTAATATTTTCCAGGAGACGTACACATTATTTTCAAAAGGCTTCGAACCATGATAAGAATAGAGTGGTTTACTCGGCTTATCTTTCCCAAGTTTTAACCTCGCTACTGCTTTTTCCTAATGTAGAAGACGGTAGATAGGGTTTTACAAGATTTTATTTGTAAAAAAAAAAATTATCATGTTTGGAAGATGAGAAGTGTTTGACAGTATCATCACACTGGCTTACAAATTTTAGTCGCCAGAGGAGGATATAAATGACATTTATTCTAACAGTAAACTGGTGTGGGTCTGTCTGGAGGACCACTCAGCAGGAAGCTGACATTTGACATTAAAGTTCAGTGCACCAGAGGATTGTTCGAGCCACAGCACACTGGCTAAATTACAAAATCCTGGCAACACTCTCCAGCCATTAAGCTGTATATCCCACTATTTTCAGAGTGGAAAGGTTTTATTAATTCATAAAAGGATTTTCTCAGCCGAGAGAAATTGGAATCTGGCAGAGCAAACAACACAAACAGGTCCCCACATTTCCCAGTTGAAAGATTTCACCACAGGCATTAGCATTTGAATTACTTTTGAAAAATTCCACCCATCGCTGATTACTACATATATTTTTAATGTGATACTGCAGACTCAGATTTTCATGCCTTTCATCCAATTGTACTTTGTAGAAGACTTTTTATTTATAATGTTCAAAGCATAGAGTTTATTATGCATTCAATCCTCAAATGTTGTAATTTTTTCTCTTTTGGAAAGGTTACCAAGAGTCACAGAAAGATTGTAAGCTGCTGATGCAAATGATGTCTGGACCCGGGGCTGTTCAAGCTGCTGCCCAAAGGCCTTTTCCCTGTCATGGTATTATAAGGGTTGTAACAAGGTAAGCCTGGCATATGGTATTTGCGTGTGTATGGTCAAACCATTGTTGACCAGCACAGAAATGCCAATAAGGCAAGGGGTGGCATCTTTCTCTACCTGTGGAGCAGTTACAAAAATGACCTCCTTCATATAATTCCTTATGAATTTCCACAGTAAACTGTACCTTGCTTTAGTAATATCAAACAAATAACATGATGGATAGTAGTAACCCACATTCTGTGCCTCAGAGCTCTCTCCTTGTGTGCACAAATACAGTCACCAATGAAAAGGTAGAACATGATCTCAGATCCACTGGATGACTTTTTCTCCTTTACCACCTTTCCAATAGCTCATCATTCTTCTGACGTTCCTGTCACTCATGGTTTCTTCCATTGTACCTAGGCCTTGTCTCCCCCTGAGTTAATATAAATGGAATAAAAGAATATGTGTTTTCCTAGGCCCTTCTATAAGCACAACATTGCTCAGAAGTACCTTTTATGGTAGATAAAGCCAGAAGATCATTCATTCTAGTTGCTGTGAAATAATACATTTTATAACATTGTGATTCAGTGGATTTATTAAGTTCCTCTTCCATGAAACTCTTTTCTTTTATTCAAAAATAGATTTTTTTCATACATACATTCTCATTACAATTTCCTCTCCCTTAGCTCCACCCAGATTCTCCCCACCTCCCCTCCCATTCAAATCTAAATCCGTGTGTTCTCTCTCTCTTTCTCTCATTAGAAAACAAACAGGAATCTAAAGAAAAATAATAAAATAAGATAAAACAAAAACAAACAAAGCAGAATAGGACAAACAAAACAAACAGAAGAAAAAGTGTCAGAAGCACGATAAACACATATAGACACAGAGACACACATGTACACACACACACACACACACACACACACACACACACACACACAAATTCCACACAAAACACAAAACTGGAAACCATACCTGTAAGGTGTGCGTGCGTGCGTGCATGCATGCATGCATGTAAGCACTGACAAAGCATGGTGAGATGAAGAACCTCCAAAGGTGCCATTTACTTCCTTTTACGCTGTTCGTCTACAGCTGGGCATAGGGCCTGCCCTTAAGAATGGTTTGTATGCATGCCCAGTGTTTTCTCTGCTGAAGGAAGCTATGTTTTCTTTTGTGAGCAGTTATCAACTGGAGATAGCTTCTGGGTTAGGGATGGAAGATTGTGTCCACTTCCCTTCTCAGTGCTAGGACCCCATCTGGCCCAGAACCATGCAGGCTTGTGCATGCTACCACAGTCTCTGAGTTCATACGTGTGTTGGTCCTGCTGTTTAGAAGTCCTTGTTTCCTGATGCCCTCCATCCCCTCTAGTTCATACACTCTTTCTGCCTCCTCTTCATCAGGGTTGCCTGAGCCCTTAGGGGAGGGCTTTGAAGGAGACATCCCATTCAGGACTGGAAACTCACTACTTTTAGATTTCTAATTCGAAGACCTTAGTATATTTTTACCTTCTACTATCTAATTAAAATCCATCACCTGCTCTTGGGACCCTTGTCAACCTACTGGAATGCCTTGAAAAGCCCTCATATGGGGGTTTGTGCTTAGCCTTATTGTGTCTTGTTATGCTGTGTTTGGTTGGTATCCCTGGCAGGCCTGCTCTTTTCTGAAGAGAATATGGAGGATGAGTGGATCTGGGGGAGATGGGGTAAGGGGGCGGGAGGAGTGGAGGGAGGGCCATATCATGAAAGAAAGCTGACTTTCCCTCTTCCAGCAGTTATGGATTCTTATCTAGGGGTGGGCTTCTTGCCCACCTTCCCTGATCTATACTGACAATTTTTCTGCCTTGGGCTTATGAAGGTCTTATGCATGCTGTTAAAACTACCGTGAGTCCATGTGTAGAACTGCTTATCTGTGTCTGGAAAAATAGTTTCCTTGTCGTCATGAACTACCTCTGATCCTTACAATATTTCCCACCCCTTCTTCTGCAAATGACCCCTGAGCCCTTAGAGGACAGGATGTGATATTGATGTCCCCTTTTAGGGCTGACCGTCTCTCAGTCTTATTCTCTTTACCGTGACCATTTGTTATTCTCTGTGTTAGTTGGCATCTACTGCAAAAAGAAGCTTGTACAATGAGGGTTGAGAGATGATCTCATCTATATTTATAACACTGTGTCATTAGACTTCAGTTTAATAGTATGTCCATTTAGTCGAGTAATAGTAGGTTCCTAGGGCCTATAGCCTGTCTACCCATATGCTCTGGGCTCCTGTATCAGTGCCAGATATGGCTTCCAACTTACGGAGAACACTTCAATCTAATCACGAAGTGTTTGATTACTTCCATGACATTTTTACAACTATCATACCAGTGGGGCATAGCTTACCAGGCTGGTCAGTGTGGTAGCTGGCCAGGGTCAGAGCTGGGTATGGATGAGGATTGCTTTCCAGTAGTTTGCAGAGCATCTTTCAGTACTATGAAAGCTACTTAGTAGAAAAGAAGTATCCAGATGAGTACCAAATTGATTTCTACATAGTCTATGATGCATGTGCGTGGTATCTTCCACAACAGAGGCCAACCATCGAATTATAGAGAAACCAATGGTATTGGCAATAGGCTATAGGGTTTGGGGACCTATTGGGCCAACAATTTTAAAAGAGGTGGCCCATTCCTGGCACTGGGACTTGTGTGTGTGTGCGTGTGTGTGTTTCAAAGTGTCTTTCGTGTTTTTTGTCCCTCCTCCTATTCCTTTCTTTACCCCACCCTCCCATCCCCCACTCCAATTTCACTCTTCCTGTTCTATTATTGTCCTTTAAGCTTTTATGCAAGTGCACTCTATCTCCCTTCCTTTTAATACCACTTTCAATGTCACTTTCTAATTTCCTGGTCTCCAAACGAAACATATATCTGAAAGTTCAAAGTTAACACTGATAAAAGAGAGAAAATATATAACCTTTGTCCTTCTGGGTTTAGGTTACCTAACTAAAATGATTGTTCCCAACTCCATTTACTTATGTATGAATTTTATATTTTCATTTTCATAATAGCTCTGTAATATGCCACTTATTAAATACATTATATTTCATTATCCATTCATCAGTTGATATGCACCTAGGCTGTTTCCATTTTCTGGCTATATCTGGCTCATATCCTTGATATGAGATGTGAGGTCTCACATACATGTCTGAGAGTGGTATGGCTAGATCATGTAGTAGATCTATTTTTCATTTTTCAAAGAACTTCTACATTGATTTCCAAAGTGGCTCTACCATTTTTACATTCTCATCAGCAGTGAATCATTTTTTCCCTTTTCCCACACCCAAACCAACATTTGTTATTGTGTGTGTGTGTGTGTGTGTGTGTGTGTGTGTGTGTGTGTGTGTATCTTAGCCATTCTGACTGGGGTAAGATAAAAGTCTCAAAGTAGTTTTAATTTACATTTCCCTGAAGACTAAAGTTTGAATATTTTCTTTTAAATGGTTCTTTTTATTATTATTATTATTATTATTTTACAACACCATTCAGTTCAACATAATAGCCACAGAATCCCCTGTTCTCCCCCTCTCACCCACCCCTCCCCCCAGCCCACCCCCCATTCCCACTTCCTCCAGATCAAGGTCTCCCCCGAGGACCGGGGTTGACCTGGTAGACTCAGTCCAG